GAAACTGTGATATAATAAAATTGGTGATAAGGTCCGGACCGGGGGCCGATCTTATCTTAAGTGACTTTATTACGGAAAAGTATTCCGTGTGTGAAATCTGACTATCTAGAAAATCGTTGTTGATGTTGGAATTTAGAGGGTTTAAGGTCCCAGGTAGGTTGAAACCTCCCGAGGGAGGTTGGACCACCGGAGCAACTTTATCGAAGGCTTTACGGAAACCTTCCAGGTCAAGGCAGTTTTTATTGCCCTCGTCTCTAGGCTTATTACGTGCACAAGAAAATGCTTTGATGGTGCTCCACACGGATCCAATATCCGAGTTCGCATGCAAAGAGCCGCAATACCTACGGAAGGCCGCGCGTTTCTTTTTCCTTAGGGCTTTGGACACCTCATTTGCAACTCGACAATAGTTGTCTAAGTTTACTATGTTGGGGTGTAAGCGAAACTGTGCAAAGGCGGTTCTTTTGCGAGTATAGATGTCGGAGCAGGAGGCATCCCACCAAGGAGTGGGGGGCTTTCTAGAAGCCTTTGAAGAGGTTGTACGAGTGGCACCTGCGTGCAGGAGAGAACCATCAACAAGNTCAATAAGCTTAGAATAAGCAGTATTNACATCCTCAACTGTGTCCAGAGGGGGGAGGGTGGCCACCCCTTCCTGGCACCCATTCTGAAACTCTTCCCAGCGTACCTGTTTCACGGAGTAGTATGGTCGACANGGAATGCGACCAGAAAACTTGTCGGAGACCGTGGTTANTACANNGAANTGATCACTACCATAATGAAACTCGCACACAGCCCATGTGCAGAGAGGTGCGAGNACATCAGAGACAATGGTGAGGTCTATTGCGGAGGACCNAGAGAGATCCNCGGAGGCCCAAGTGTTACTGCCGTTGTTNAGAACTACCCAAGAAGAGNTGACTAACGCATGNTCTAAGTNTTTCCCTTCTCTATTAGAGANAGGAGGNNTACNGCACCNCAGGGGGCTTTTCCCATTGAAATCGCCGCAGANGATCGCTGGTTGGAAGTTAGCGNTTAAGANGAAAAAGTTTTTCCAAAAGTCAACTTCTGTATAGTTTACAGGTGTTCTAGGAGGGCTATACAGCGAAAAGACATAGAGAGATTGAGAGTTCGGAAGAAACAACTCAACAACAGCTAGTTCAACGTTGTTATCCTTGCACAGGTTTATCAACTGGGGGATTTCCGGGATACGAAATTTGATGTGTTTACCTATTGCTATGGCAACTCCTCCACCTCTACGATTGCGATCTTGTGATATGATTTCATGGTTAGGTAAGGTGACAATAGAGTTGCCATCAAGGTGTGTTTCACAGAAGGTCGCTACTTCAGCTTTGCAGTCCTGGAGTAGTAGGCGGACCGCATCGAGATTACGGACCAAAGACCTGCAATTCCATTGGACTACGGTTAAAGATTTCATGGTGTGCGGAATTTAACTCTAAGAATCTAGAGTACCATAGAAATACTTTTGTAATTCAGTAACGATATTTGTCATGTCTGTGTTGCTGAGCTGAGAAGGGTTTGTACTGGGGGTAACTTTTAGTTTTTGGAAAGCTTTGGTTAAGATTTCCTTGTCTGAGGAAATTTTAGAATGTTCATCTTCTGAGGAGTTACGTCCAGAGGACATTTTCTTCGCAATAGAATCTATAAACGANCGATTAACTGTAGGTCTTTTACCTGACGAAGAGGAGAAGGCTAGTGGCCTTTCATGGCTATCCCTCCACACAGAGGGGAACCGAATCGGGGGCACAGGTGTTTTTAGCGAAGTGACCTCTGCATAGGAGAGGTTAGAGGCAGGAGAGGAGTCGAACGAAGGAACACCCGAACACCCAGGTGAGGGAGAAGACTCGACCCGGGAGGAGGGCACTCTCGGACTCCCAACAGACGTTCCCTGAGGGGGGAACGACCCGGTTTTCCTGTTCCCGAGAATCTAAAAACGTTCCCACCCGGAAAGTACTCACCGAGCGTGGGAAGAGGGACCGACACACTAGACAAGTGAGAGTTCAAACCTGAGAGTGTGTTCCCTTCATCATACAGGCTGGCTGCATCACGAAAAGAAAGATCCCTGTGAGCCATAACCNTGTGAATCTCACGTTGTCTCTGGAAGACCGGGCAACGGAGTTCCGAAGACTGGTGATTGGTGTTACCAATCTTGAAACGAACACAATTTATGCACTCGTCCAGAACATTTGGACATTTTGGTTTAGAGTGGCCCGACTTGCCACACTTCTCGCAGAACCTGCGTCTCTCATCTCCAGACTGTTTGCACGAATGGACTGTATGCCCGAACCTCTGGCAAAAATCGCACCTTCTAACCTTATAAACATAAGGGGTTAGGGAGAGACGTTTCCCTACATACAAGCAAGACGGGGGAACCACCGGAGAGCGGAACCTTAAGATAAGTTGATTTGTACTCACGTACTTAGGGCTAGAGGTAGGGCTACCCTTTTCCCTACGCGTGATCCTAACCGCTTCGAAAGGGGGAACCCACTCCTGACCCCACCCAGGGGGGGGGCGGAGACCGGCCAACAATTCCTCCACGGTTTCCTCCTCGTCAACACCTTTCAGAACAAACTGTTTGACCACCCTAAACGATGGAACATGCGCTGTCCACTGTTCGCAGGGGGTTATCTTGTCGGCGATGTCCCTGAAGGTTTCAACAAACCGATTCGCATCCTCGCCTGTGGGGAAGCAGACAGAAAACTTATTCCTACCTATCACACGCAAGTCGAAGGCACGTTGAAACTGGTTTAAAAGAAGACGACTGAGCCTCTTTCCCAGGCCGATGGCGCTGAGCGAGGTTCCTTTTTTAATACCTGTATCCAGACTCTTACTGCCTTCCTGTTCGTCTCCGCCAGCTGANGAGGGCAGAGGACGGCACGTCTCTATGTGCACCATGAAAGGACCCCTGGAGTCCCTGTGGTAGCGATTGAGTACAAGTTGTCTCTGTACGCTGGACATAGCCGAGAATGTACGCTTGAGAGGGGGGGACGGGCCAGCGCCGTCCCTTTTCCTCGAGGACCGTACCCCCGTAGGTCCCGTAGAAGCCGAAGAGCACGAAGGGGAACCAGCCGGGAACACCTCACGAACCGCACGACCCCCACCAGGACCCGCGCCCGGCGCAGTGGTCTGGTCGTTAAGAGGGGGGGTTATGTTCTTTTCTGGCGGGAACTCCGCCGCAAGCATATCTACGTCGGCCGTTTCTTCGGTCATGTCGTAGTCGCGAAACACACGCGTTTTACTGTGTCCGATTTGCACAACACTAGCTCNCAACAACAACCTGAACGATACTTGAGTCTTACCGTACGATTCAATCACCAAAAGTTTTACAATTTTACTTTGAAAATAGAAGACAAAATGGCGTCCTCGGACGAAATCCTCAGGTCGCCCGACCACAAGATCGCGATTGTCGTGAAAACGACAGTTTTTACGTGGAACTTGAGTTCCTAAAACTCTGAGCTTACTTACGAAATGGAATTCCAACTGTTTTCGCAGCGATACGTAGCTTAGGACAGGAATTAGGAAACTTTGAAGCAGGACTGGGATACGCGGGAGATGTAGCTCTTGCGCAGTCTCAGAACAGAATCTCCAAAAATATTCACAGTAGAACTCATAGACATATAAGAAATAGACTGCGCGTCCCGTATCTTTTCTGTGCAGAAA